GCAGAATAGCTGAGGGTATCGGCAAGCTGAATGTCAGTCACTTGTGCTTCTAGTAGTAGCTGAATGCGCTTAAACGAGCATTCAATGATGTAACATGTAACAGCGAGTGCCATACCTGAGTATATCTAGGACTCGCCTGAGCTGGTCACTATCGCTTTTTGGCAGCCCCTCGAAGAGCATACGCCGAATGAGCTCTCTGAAGGCTGGAATATCTGAGGGCTGCTCTCCGTAGTATTTCTTTTCCAATCCATCACGGGCTGCCAATGAGCCACCGGTATCAATTGCCGGGATGACTGTGTCGGCAATGGCTATAAATACGCTCCATTGCATGGGAGTAAAGTCGTTCGCTGGGGCAAGAGGAGCCAAAGGTGCAGCCAGAGGAACCTCTGCGGCATGTTCAATCAAAGAACCCATCACTACTCTGATATCACTTGAGCGCAATTGAAGATGGCGGCAGATGGAGTGAGGCCAGAGGAGCGCCCATTTGCGGAAGCCCACGGTTACATTGGGAGAGAGACATAGAGGGCATCCCGAGACGGCCAGACTATTATGGCTGCCCGCGAATTGGGGGCATTTCCAGCGGCCTCGGCAACTTTATCACGAGAAGAGGAGAAGGTCACTGATTGATTGATCGACGTGAACCGAGCTGGCGAGGAGGGCACCCGAGTAGGTTTACTCCGCACAATAGCCACTGATCGGTTTCGGCTCTTGTGTCCTAGCGTTACATCTTCCCCGCCTTCTCATGCAATGACTGCCTGGAAGGGACCGGGACAGAGTCAGGTTGGAACGGAGTGACATCCCTGTGGATATTGGGCAATGCATGCAGGGAGGCGCCAACAACTGCTACCCTTTGACGCGACGGTACTCGAAAAAATGAGATCATTTTCATGCAGGGTGAGAGAGGGTTACATCTCTTTATCAGCCCATCTTGACGCCGTGCCCAGGATGCTGGCTGGCAGCCCTAGCACAGCACTTTTGAACTCGCCACAGGGTCGCGTCTGTGTCCGATCCGCCCGATCCGATGTTTTGGCAATCTCATCGCGAGCCCATCTGGCCATGTTTTCTGGTATATGAAGCATGGGGATGGCCTGTCAAGCGATAATGAATCACTACTGCCCGTGATGTAATGAGGTCATATCGACATCCAGGAAATCAATTTGTGGAGCTCCATCGCGTCGTCAAGCATGGCTAGGAGTCAAGATATCCCAACCACAAGAAATGTAATTTAGTAGTTTGGGTATCATTCGATTATTGAAAAAGGCTTGGCAAATATTGCCCAATCAAGTATCATTTTACTTAGAATCAATTCCACCAAATATTTGGAACAAGCGAACACTGTATACACACCTTATTATCGTGATGGGAGAGCTCTGAAAGTAAGAGAGTGATAATTACGAGAGAAGCCAAGGGAACGCAGTAAATATAGGACTTCGAAATAACCAAGTCCGAAACTTCCCAATCCTTTTGTTGTTAACGTCCTGTTCAAGACGTCCTGTTTAAGCGCTAGGAACAAAAGTAGGTATCCTTGGATAGGTCAATCATTACTTGTTCAGAAGCTGCCACGATTATCAGATGGATTTAAAAATAGAAAAAGCAACACAAAAAGAGTCTAGAAGATTCAATACTACTGGATCTAACTTCACGTATATATCATTCGTTGTTCAACGCAGATGTGCGCGATGTGCCAAGCTGATATTTTGTTTCAACAAGTGGCTCAACCTACTCAAAACCCGAGAAGATGGATCCTTCAGCTCGACATTTGATGGATAGATCTCAGAATGAAGTTTATTCAAGAGATCTTGTCAGCTTACTCTATTTCACCAAAAGCTTCAATTTGCACTTTCGTTATATATTTGACTGCCCAGTAAGGACTTTTTATGAATCACTTCTTCCTTTAAATTAAACTGAACTGATTCGGATCAAAACATCGATCTTGAGTGATACAAAGCCCGAAAGATATGTGTTCGTAATATGTGTAGCATATTTTGATCAATATCTACGAGACCGTAAGCACAGAATAGTCACGAGCCACAATCAGTTCATAGAGTCCCTTCGTCTCAAATACGAACAACTTACTACTCAAATAACTTGACTGTTCTAATAAACGAGCTACTCTATTCATAAAGGTCAGAATCATAACACCTTACACGAGATTCTGCTCATTGAGAATATCGAAATAGTGGATGACGATAGCAAACTTCACGATGTACTTCACTAGGTTCTTAAAATATAATAGATAGTAGAGTAAATAACCATAACAATACAAAATCATACTCAAGAGCACATTCTCTCTTCTCTCCCTCTTCCTTCCGATACGAGAGTTCTAGGGTTCGTTGGAGAGATAGACATATTTAAAACAGTTGAATGGCACCCACTGGGAAAATCTGAAACTTCCAATGAGATTCACCCAATACTTCGCACTTGGTCTTTACTTCTATCAGTTAGTATCGTCAGTTTAGGAGATAGGATTAAAATCCGGCATATATTCAACTTGGACAAGCATTGTTGGGCTTGTCGGGAGCCCCGGATCACAGGCCTAGTTGCCGCTAGGGCACTAAAGTCGCTCTACGCCTCTGCATGGATTCGAGTTTCGGGGCCTCTAGTCTGCTAAATTGAATCAGGGGCAGCGGGAGGTGACAGAGCTTCGTGGCAGAGCTCGATTGATCTCGGCAATAAGCGGGCAATACCAGTGGTATGTCTCTGGTGCATCACATCACGGCACATTCCCGAGGACTTGGGCGTCCTTTGGCGTACGCCATGTGATAATTGGGAGAAGGCTTCAGCGCTGCTGGTCGAACCGTGTCAGCGTCCAATTTATCAACGAACTAGACAAGGATAGGGGCAAGGAGGTCGGAACCATCGCTCTCTTCTCAAAGTAGCGGTATGAGGCAGCGGAACTTGCCTGCCTACCTAGGAACCCAAGGTGCCATTGTAAAGGATCGTTCGTTCTTGTCTGCTCGCCTCGCCTGAGACGCTCGAGATGATCATTACTGGCAAAGGGCGCTGCAATACTCACCCAGGGGAAGGGGACCAATCAATATACCCGCCAGCCCGCAAGGCGCATCGGATGGTTCCCGTGCCGCATTGGAGCATGTCGCTAACCCGAATCTCATATCCGCTGCCAGCTTGGGCTTGGACCTGTTGGTGCTTGGCCAGAGTTCACCATGCCGGATCCTGGCAGAGGGGAACAAGCACGCCAATCAGCGCGCCGACTGGCACACCAACATATAGACCTCGCTACCTATATGAAGTGATGTGTTTGGTCAGCAGCCAACGGCACAGCAAACCATGGGCGTGCGCGGACATGGCTGGGCGTCCAATGGAGGAGGCCAGGGGGCAGACCCAGCAGTAACCGGAAGCGGTCGCCAAATAACCGATGTGCTGACGCCTTACGAGCATGGGATATGCCAGGAGACAAAGCGGGCGCCTCGCTAATTTCATTCTCCTAGCGGGCATGGCCATCTAGCTCGAAGGCTGGGATATCCAACGTCAAACAATCACATCGGTAACACAAGATGTACCACGGCGCCAGCGGGCCGGTTCCAAATGTGATAGCACGACCTAGCTAAGAGGCGTGTGCGTGGAGGCCATCAAGGTCTTGGGGGAGGCCCCCATGCTGCATCGTGCGCTTGCCTGCTTCCCCGTGATGCGTGTGGTCAGAAACAGTGCTGTTTCTGCTCAAGGGGCTAAGGGCTCCCGGTTGGCAAAAAGCAACGACGATAGTGAGGAGAAAAAGTTCCGGTAAGGGGGAGGCAGATGCCCTTCACCACCCAGCAGCCTACATGCATGTCGTCTCCCTACTTTCCAGTCCCAATCAAGTAAAGACCGGCGAGCCCACTCGTTTAACCCAGACACTCAATCTGACGAGTCGACTCTGGCAATCGAGTTTGGGGGGTTAGGAGGCTCGGGTATCAGCGCTCGCCGAGAGGCACGGTCGGTGAGCTCCAGACTGGAAGCTCTGGCCAGCTTCACGATGCGACATCACGACCAACCCGACTCATGAGCAGCCCAAGAATCAGGCCAAACTGACCCATTGCATGGGGAGCCGTAAACGAGGCGAGCCAAGGCTCAGCTAGCCGCCAGATAGCGTGCCCCCTGGCCTGCTAGCCAAGGGAGAACAACGCGGGACAAGCGGGGAGCAAGAGGGAAAGCTTGAGAGCACAGTCCGGGGCATCGCTCCGTGATGGGAAGCTAGAAGCACCGTCGCATTGGCGGTTGTGCGTACTGCGCAGATCGCATGGCCCAGTGGTCCACCACCCTCCCAGGCAAGCAAGCTTCGCTAGATTCTTCTAGGGAGTGGTGGCGAGAGGACCAGGCGCCAATTGGATATCACGCCTGCCCATTGGCGTGTGAACTGGGCAGTCTAAGCAGCTCAGAACCTGCAGTCGTAACCAGACCCGGTGATCATGCCCAAGCTAGCTGCTTGCTTCAGCTGGTGCATGAGACATGGGTTGCCAGCACCCCCAGCCAAAGATCATGCGTACATGTACATTGAGTACAAGCTGCCCGGTGCCAGGAGCACTAAACCGATCCATTGATTCTTTAACCCAGCCGAAAATCACCGGGCTGGGTCGGTATATGTACGAAGCACATGCATGATACCGTCGTGCTGCAGTCTTTTACTGGGCCAGCAGTTGGGACATCTCCACGGTGGATGCGCATCCGTCCCAATCTTATTAGGCATCTCGAGCCAACAGAAGGATTTGATTCCTCAGACGCAGGAAAAAGAGCGTTGCCTTCAAAATCGTCTGGGGGGTGAGAGTAACAGCCAGCCGATTGACCCAGACTGCTGGAACCCCTACTTTTAGATATCAGCAGGGTCCTCCCCATTCTCCTCCTACTTACGTCGAATCCCCTCCTCTGTCTATATATTGCATTGCGTAACCACCTGCTGCCAAACGATCGATCACAGATCCGCGTCCCCACGAAACGCCCACCTTCCCAACTGCCCGCCTACTAGAGGCCTCGATCAGTCTACCACCAGAGCCCCGTCTTCACACATGGATCCAAATAAGCAAAGCATCTTCCACTTCGCCTCGTTCTCCCTGACAGCCCTCCTTGCCCTCGCATCCAGGCTGCGCGGGCAGCCTTGCAGTTGTGACAGGACCACCAGACCGTCTTCCGATGACCTCAATTGGTATATCCTCCTCACATTCGCCGATGGGATCGAGTGGGTATTCCGCGTGCCGCATACGGGCCACTCGCAATTGAAGAGATGGACGGCTTCCCGCCTGATTGTGAGCGAGGTCGCGACCCTCGCGTTCGTGAAAGCACATACACGCATTCCCGTCCCGCAAGTATATGCATATGAGTGAGTATGGCGTGACAGCTTCACTGCGATGCCTTCCTTATTCCCTCGAGTCTTGCTCCACCTCCCGCCACTTCATCTTTCATCTCACTGACTCCGACAGAGCCAACTGGACAAATGAGATTGGTGTCCCCTTCATGCTCATGAGCAAGGCCCCCGGCCGGAGGCTCTCCGCCTACGGCTGGGTCGATCACGCCTCGCAGAGCAAGCCCGCCGGTAAGAGGCTCCGGGACATCTCTGACAATGGTAAGATCAGGGTTATGCACCAGCTCGGTGCCCTCAGCTGCGAGCTCTCACGGCACCGGTTCAGCAAGATCGGGTCGCTTGTCCAGGACGGGTCTGGGTACTATTCCATCGAGCAGTGTCTCGCTCCGGGCCTTACCTGGGGAGGGAGGGATTCGTTGGGCAGGATCGCCAGAGGGCCATTCGACACAGAGGGCGAGTACCTCGACGCCCTCGTAACGGCGTATAGCCTCCACACAAAGAAGCTCGACATGGGATCGCGGAGCTTCTTCGCGCCTGTGCCCGACCCGGTTGAGTATGACAGCTACGACAAGTACAGGGACGCTTCGCTGCGGTGGAGCGACTACGTAGGACTCGACAAGAAGGCAGAGCAGGGCAGCAACCGCCTGCAGTTCTGCATAGCCGCCCAGCTCGTGCGCGACATGATCCCAAGCATGACCCGGCAGAGATCGTGGGAGGAGAGCGAGGGCTTCCCGCTCGCCCACCCTGACCTGAATTTCGACAACGTCTTCGTCGACGACAAGCTGAACATCTCGTGCATCGTCAACTGGGGCGGGGCATGTTCTGCGCCAGTACCCGACGCCCTCGTCACACCGGGACTACGCGACATGGCGCCCTACACGATGGACCCGCGTCTCGTAATCGCCTTCCGGAACGGGTTCGAGCAGGCGGCGGGCATGGGGCGGCCGTTTGACAAGCGAATATGGGAACGCGCGGATCAGATGCTCTTCTTCCAGCGGCTCGTCCGCATGCGGTCCATGCGCGCAGTCTACGACTTCGAGAAGCTCTTTGAGATGGTGAACGGGCAGTCGAGGGACCAGCCCACGCTCTCCAACCTGCCAGAGCTCTTCGCCGAGGTGGCCGACACGGGACCGGAGAACAAGCAGCTAAGGTACGAGCTCGAGATGTTCGAGTGGTGCCACAAGCAGGTGGAAACGTACGTCCCGACGGGACGGGGCAGCCGGACGATTGAGAACATCGACAGGGTGGCCGTGGCGCAGAAGCTGACCATGATGGCGGAGATGAACAAGAAGTTCATAGCGGACGGGAGGCTCTGGAGGTGGATAGAGGCCGCGCTCGAGGGCCAGGGTGCGCCCCCGACGAAGTTAATCGAGGACGAGGGCATATCGTGCGACTACGGGGACAAGAGGGCCGGCAAGTCGAAGGATTTACGATACCAGATATCGGTTTAGCATGTTTTTACGAGCGTCATCAGTTTGAGATATCCCTTTTGCTTTCTTTGTTTCTGAAATTCCACTCAATACTAGCGATAAACCCGCCACGGGGCGTCATACATGTCTATGTTGCCTTCCTTTGCCTTGATGGTGAAGGGAAGTGTATACTAAAGACAAAGGATTCTCTCTGGTAGAAATTCTATAATACTCGTCTCTTATGCCCTTCTCTATGCCTTCAAGCTTGATAAAACACTCCTCATAAATCCATTCAGTGATCCAGTGCCATCATGTCGACCGCTGCACCAGCAAGGAGCTTTGGTCCTTGCTCAACTGATAACACTGCCGCGGCTGTGCGCAGAACCCTCCCTTCCTCCGCTGCATGTTTCCCCGCCCCTTATCATCACCGGATCCCGGTAGGAGGGTAGCACGCAGTGAGCGAGGGGTAGGTGTAGAGCCACGCAGAGAGGACAGTACGGTGAAGGGTAGGATTGTCATCCAGCCAGGATGGAGGCCCCTGGGCGGCTGCCTTTGGTACCCATGTCCTTACACCTAACGACGTGGATCTTCCCTAGATCGACGATCTCGACATATTAACTCGCGGGGCTGATTTACATAGGCGGGCCCGACTGTCTGGGAAGCTTACACGTCCTCGGTGCTGATGGGGAGGGCCGGCCTCATGGTGAATGAAATGGGACACCTGGATCCCCAAACAGCTTCGCCAACTCCGTGGCTAGGTGACTAACTGTGATAAATGATTTACTCAGCCAATATGCGTCGTAAGTATGTAACAGTAATAATTTAGCAAGGGCTAGTGTCGGTGTAAGCATCGGATTCAACGGAAACCATTCGGTGTCCAAGTTGGGCCTGTGATGTGACCCAAAAGTTCCGCATACGGCCCTCTCGGAAGAGGGAAAATTACAAAACTCTCCGATTGCTTATGATGGATGCTTAATGCGACATGTGTTGGTCGGGGTGGTGCAGCCCTCGCGGTTAAAGTCGGACGCGATGATCGAGTCAATATGCATAGATGATGCCAGCATATTCGTCAACAGGCGCGCTGTATCCCACCTAGGTGAAAAGCTGAACGGCACGTCCTTGAATCCTGCTGTTCTACACCAGTAGATAGAGATAAACCATAAAAAACAAGCTGGGTAGGAAAGATCCAAGGCGGCATCAACTTTGAAGTACCTCACCAGCTGTTTACCCTGCAGATGGACACAACGTAGGTCTACGCCCTTTCCCAGCATCAAGAGTCCTTTCTCGGAAGCTTTATTTTTAGCCGTCAAGTATGCGACGTAAACAGTGATATATTGGGGAGCTGGAAATGGATCTCACTGTGCATGAGTTGTCGTTCTTGGCAGTGACTCCGAACCGCCCTGCCACTTGAGTCCAATACGCGATTGATCACATCTAGGGGCTGCCTTTTCATCCCTGTCCTGATTATTCATTTTGTATTTCTTGTTTCCAATGTCGGAATCTTCCTGCGATCTTGTTGTTCTCATCAATATCGGAGATTGGCTCCATAAACTGGGCGTTAGCTACACCCCCTAAGAGAGATGTACCGTTACCTATCCCGCCACTTGCCTACATGAGTCTACTGACAAATTCTACATTTAAATCTTACATTTCGGTGATTGGTAAGATGGTAAAGGACTCGTAATTGCAGTGTAGTGCGGAGCAGAAATAGCTAGTGCAGGCATCTCAACTGGAATGTCACAGGCGCTGGACGAGAAGTGCGACCTGTCATCACATTGGCCGCAGTTGTATAGCGCTTACCACGACCAATTTTATGTTTCTCCTTATGAGATATCGAAGGGTACGAATCTTAATGGCGGGATCGTCGAGTACTCAGAGACTTTTGGTCAATCTAATGTGAGAGCTTTATAAGCTGGAAAGGCTGGGGAAAGCGTGATTTGAGCGCAAAACACTGGCCAACAGCTTCTTTTCTGCGTATTTGCTTCAATCAATATTATATATTGTCCGCATTTTGACACCTGCTGACACGTGCTAGCAATTGTTGCCACTTGGCCAACCGGAAATCCTCTACCACGAGTGTCGGACTTGGTATGTAGTCAGCCTATTGTCTGCATTGCCTCATTGCCTAGCTGCCAATACACATCTAGTGACTTTAGTTTACCTGCCCGCTTATGTATGAGGGCGATTAATGGACGTTTGTTTTATCCCCCCGTTATTACTTGAATCTTCTGAACGTTGGCGGACCTACCATCGGTCCAAGGTTGAGCATCAATTGATTGCTCTGATATGTCTTGCAAGCTGGAGTTGGGGAAATCTAGCTGCTCAACATGGAATGAAGGAATTATCTTCACAGAAGTTCATAACAGAATAACTTTAGCCAAGCTCCAACCCAAGGATCAGAGCTGGTTACAAACGTTGGCAAATTTGGTCTGGCGGCGAAGACTGTAGGCCAAATCCTTTCCTTGATTTCGTTCGGATGTAGAATAACCAAGTTTCATTCAACTTGCCGACTCACAATCGTGTCAAATCCAATACCATTGGCTTCCTGATTCGCATTTTCTACCTTTTCTTCTCCTTTGGGCAGACTGTCCCGGGTCACACTACACGATATACCTTGGTTCGCACCCTTAGGCAAGCGATTGACCTCATGCGCAAATAGCCATTAAGTATGAGGGCTCACTACTGGAATTAATGACCCCTAGTATTTATAAGAGCGCAAGCCCAGCGCAAGTATGTATCGCTATTGCCAGGGCAATAAATAGAGGGGGATGATGGCGATCTCGCCCTACCGCCATCGCTGTCAAGGCGGAGAAGGTGTACAGATCACGACGAATTATGAAAATGAATAATGATGTGCAAATGGTAATGAGAAATGGGAGTCTCCAATATAGCTGTATGAGACTTGATAACCCCTTCTCCCCACTTTATCACCCTTGCCGTCATCGCAAGCTGTTCAAGGGCATACGTAACATGAAGCGTTGCATTTCATGGTGGTGGTGTTTGGTGCTTTGGGGGCTGGACGAAGGATGTATGTACTCGACGAGCCTTTGACCAGTCTTGGCTGTAAATGCGCAATCAGACCCAATCATATGAACGTGATTTAAAATACATTATCCCACACAAGTGATCATTTTTTGTCGACATCTCTAGGAGAAATATCTTCCAGTGTTTTTTGATTGAATAGCTCGTCACCGGGCCTGGAAAGGAAAGTCGCATTGATGTGTTACGTGTCAACTGATATCAGAATGGCCCGATTTCAACACAACTTGCTTGTCTGCTTCTCCAAGCCGCCCTTCCCATGAAACAGGTGCAAAAGCGTGGGTTGGCCTCTCAGCCAACCGAAACTTTAACTTTTGTCATCCAACGCATTACAGAGAATGAGTGCTAGAAGGCGTGCCTCGCTCGGCTTTGACGAATCGCGTCATGGCCAACAACAACAGCCAGCAACACGGAACTGTGATCTTCCTGAGCGAGATGCCAGAATCACTTTCATCAAGGTGCGCCACAGAGGCCAGTCGGCAATTGGTTGGGTAGGGTGGCTCATCGTCTGCTCTTTCTCGCTGCTCGCCCCCAGCGCTTTCTTGCTTTTGCATACATTTCGCCAGCAAACAGGATCGCCTACCACCTTCGGTGACGCTCATCATGAATACGGGGACCAGAGTCAAGTGAATGACCTCGCTATGAAGGTCAATCCCACTCAAGCCGAGCAGCTTGATCTGCAGACAGGCTTCGTAGTTTCTAGTGAACCCGCCACCCGGGAATACGTGCTCAATCTCACGCGCGAGAACTATGCCCCAGATGGGTTTGAAAAGCCCATGATACTTGTGAATGGCCAGTCGCCAGGGCCCCTCATCGAGGCCAACACGGGAGATGTGCTCCGCATTACTGTCAACAACTTCATGCCCGATGCAAGTACAACTGTACATTGGCACGGCATTGACCAGAGAAATACCAGCTGGATGGACGGCGCCTCTGGAATTTCTCAATGTGGGATCCCCCCTGGTGGCAACTTTACGTACCGATTCAATGTGACGGGGCAGCGAGGTACATTCTGGTATCATTCCCATGTCTCAGCTCAGTACACAGACGGACTCTATGGGCCATTGGTAAGTTCAAATCTCAAGTTGCTTCTTTGATATGTTTATAGCCATGTGGACTAAAGGTTTTTAGATCATTCATGATCCCGATGAAAAGGTTCCCCCAGTAGGCGACGAAAAGATCATGATGTTCGGAGACCTATTCCATCGAAATGCTGAAGTGGTAGGTCATACTATTGCGCATTTATGGCGCTTGATCCATATATGGCTGACAAGATTCTAGATTGCTTCCGAATACTTAAGTCCCAATCCATCCTGGGGTACAATGTTCGGCATGGTGCCCCCTCCTGATAACCTACTTCTCAATGGAATGCACGTTTCAAATTGCTCCTCTTCCCCGTCTCTGAGGTTTAATAATATCACAAGAGAGGAACCTAAAAATTGCAGGGCTGGTTCTATTTTTCGCACTTGGATCAAAGTTGGGGAACGAATTCGCTTCAGGCTGATAAGCCACAGCACCGCAACACCCTTTTGGTTTTCTATTGACAACCATACCTTACAGATAGTCGAGATTGATGGAGTGGAGGTTGAACCTATCCTATCAACGAGGGTTTTCGTTAATCCTGGTCAGCGCTATTCAGTCGTCATAGTTGCTAACCAAACAGCAGGGAATTATCGGATACGTGCAACCGCCGATACTTCTTGCTTCACCCTTCCCGCACTTGGGAGAAAGAACTTGGCCCCCTTTAACTTCGAGGCCACAGGCATCATATCTTACAGCGGTGTAGACTCCAGCGCGACCCCTATCGGGTCACCTTGGGATCTTGAGGCCCCTGTCATTGAGGGAATCGCCAACGAGCCTTGGACCCTCAGCTGTCGAGACCTACCGTTCGATCTTCCTAAACCGATGAGAAAGTGCAATGCATACGATGTCGGTGAAAGGAATCACCACTACTTTACGTTTCAGCGTAAGAGTGAAAATGGCGTTATACGCACATCTGTCAA